GGACGTGCGCACACGTGAGCTGTAAGCCGCGTGCATTTGTCTAATCTGTGTGCGTGGGTGCTCTTGCGTCTCTCACCTCACCAGTGTCCTGAGACGTGATGTTTTCGACGATGCAAGAAGGGTGTACCTGGAAATTGAGCTTCCTTTCCCCAGACACAGCTCTTGAAGGGCCTTCGAGTTGTGCACATACGTGCTTGTTTGTTCTCAGCACACACAGCCCCTCTCTTCCTCCTTCCTCACTGGGGCTCTGCCTGTTGTGGAGTGAGTCTTGGACCAAACCAAGGCAGGCATGTGGAATAGCGTCTTCTCCCCCAGAGTTGGAGGTTCTTCTTCAGACGGAGCAGAAGTAGTTCTTCCGCTCCTCAGTGTCAGTTTTCTTGTCATCATAAGCATACCCTTGTTTCAGAGACCTAGGACAGCTAATTAGCCGTATATTTCTCAGCTTTATGAGGGTGTTTGACTCACCAAAATCTTGCAGGTCGTCTCAGAAGACTCTTACAGCCTGAAGTGAGACGAAGTGATACCTTTCCTGAAAAGAAGGTGCCATGTTTGACCCAGGCCCTCATTTGCTGGGGCTGTTGTGGTGGAGCTTTCTTCTGTGTGCTCTCGACAGTCTGTGTATGGATGTGTACACACGTGTACAGGTCTAGAGAGTCTTGTTGGGTCCTAGCAGTTTTCTGTGGGTGGTAGATCCAAGTCCCCAACTGCTGCCCAGGTGCACGAACGCGCACATGATGAGATGATGACGTGACTGGCTGCCTCCTGACCCACCCACCTGACATCATGGGTCAAGAGAAATGGCTTCAAAACCTCAATGCCGGTTTTCTTTCCATTTGTAAAAATAATCTGAAGATTTTTCAAATAACTGTGTTACAAATACACATTTGAGTCACAAGCCAACAGTTGAATTTCACTTTTTAGAGCCACATTCACTGTATTTGGATTCATTAGGAGGAGTGGCATAACAGTGTCATTTTGCAAGCACGAAATGAGACATTCATCCCTGTACACTTAGAGCTTAATATATCGAGATATCAATGCATTCTACTCTGGTCATACCTGAATGAAATTTTTTTTTTTTTTTTTTTTTTTTTTGCTTATAATAAATAGGCTCTTGAAGTTTACCCAGCCAGAGTGGAGATTCAGTTTGCAAGCGTGGAGTTGTCAGGGTTTTTAATTTTGTTTTCTTTTGGCCAGGAATGCTCTACTAAACGAGAGAATGCTAAGTAAAATATTCATTTAAATAAAACTTACGAACTAAAGCTTTCACAGGTAAACTTGAGACATAAGATATATGCACGTTAATTTCGAGAACTCTTCACCAGTCATGTCCTAACAGTGGACACAAGCCAGACAGGTGTATGGTTTTTCTCACCCCAGCAGTGTGCAAGGGAAACAATCATCAGATAACTCTAAAACCCAACTATTGAAATATGTATTTCCATATAAAAAGCATACAGAATTGCTATGGTCTTTATTCACTCACTTCTGTTTATTGCTGCAGAAACATTACTTTATTGCTTTGTTACTTATGAGGTACATACAGCAACCCTCTGCCAGGGGTGGATCCTCCAGGTATCTCTTGAGAAGGGCTTCAAAGTTGTCATTCACAGAAGTGACTTCCTTCCCTGCCCCTCTGCTCCTCCATCTGTGGGCTCAGGTCCCCCAGAAGGATCCTAGGCTTTCCTGTCCATCTGTTCACACAAAATCTTTTTCCAAGTTATCTAATTAGGTTTTTGAAGCCAATGTGTTTTAGATGGGATGCTAGTTGGTGACCTAGAGATGAGATCGATTGTTTAGGTCTGTGGCTCTTTGAAACATCTCAGCTGCCCCTGGAGCTCTGGGGGAAGTATAGGGGCCATCCTTTCCGGCACAGTCTTATTTATCCCCAGGAGCAAGGGGTGTGTGTGGGGGGGGGGTGGAGAGGAGCTCTGAGCTGATCTGCCTTCCAATTCTGATCAAAATAGGTTTCTTTTCTTTATTTTTAATTTTTCTTAAAGATTTCTTCATTTCACAGACAGAGCACAAGCAGGGGAGGGGGAGAAGCAGGCTTCCCGTGGAGCAGGGAGCCCGGTGCGGGACTCGATCCCAGGACCCTGGGATCATGACCTGAGCTGAAGGCAGACGCTTAACCGACTGAGCCACCCAGGTGCCCCAAAATAGGTTTCTTTTAAACTGAAATTACTAACGGTGTCCTTGGTGTTAGGTAGGCTCAGCCCTCTTGGGTTATTAACACCACGTTTAAAAACCATTTCATCTAGGGGCGCCCGGGTGGCTCAGACATTAAGCATCTGCCTTCGGCTCAGGTCATGATCCAGGGGTCCTGGGATGGAGCCCCACACTGGGCTCCCTGCTCAGTGGAGAGCCTGCTTCTCCCTCTCCCATTCCCCCTGCTTGTGTTCCCTCTCTCACTGTGTCTCTCTCTGTCAAATAAATAAATAAAATCTTAAAAAAAATAAAATAAAAACCACTTCGTCTAGAGTGAGTTTACCAGTGGAAGAGAACTAATCTAAATGATCCTTCAAAGAAATTCACACCTTCTGGCTTAAGATGATGAAATCTATGAACTGAGAAGTAAATCTCTGTGGACGGTACTTAGGAAGAGAACCATCCTTATAATTAAGGCCATTATGTAGGATCGTTAGAGGGTCTCTGTGCAGCCTAGCAAGTACTACATGTGACAGAAAATGACAACAACCCCAGAATATGTTGTCTTGTATTGAAGGCAAAAATCCTCAGTTTCTGGAGAAGGCTGCAGAGGTGTCTTGTCTCCTCTAGTAATATGCATACAGGTGCTCAGTACCGAGTTCTTGACTAAATAAATTATTGATTGAATTTAGGATTAAAATTCTCTGATTAAATTAGAGATTTTTGAAGATGTGGTTTTTCAAACTGGTGGTTTTCTCTGATCTATTTTATCATTAGCCCTCAAGAACCAATTTCTTTATTATTGGCGAGTTATTCTTTTCTTGTCTGTGTAAATGATTTCTTAGCTGTTTTGTGGAAGAATATTGAGTGGTATTCAAACTCTGCCTGTGTCCGAACCACCTGGAGAGCGTGTTACAACAGATTGCTGCTCCCTGACCCCTGGAGTTTGATTAGTAGGTCTGGGGTGCGGCCTGAGAATTTGCAATTCTTTTTTCTTCTTTTTTTAAGATTTATTTAATTATTTTAGAGAGAGTGCACACAAATGAGCACAAATGGGGGAGGGGTAGAGGGAGAGAATATTCAGCTAGACCCCCCCCCCTGCTGAGCGCGGAGCCCAATGTGGGGCTCAGTGCAGGGCTCAATCCCGCACCCCATGAAATCTCAACCTGGGCTGAAACTCTATAGAGTCGGATGTCCCACCAACTGACCCACGCGGGCGCTCCAAGAATTTGCAATTCTAACAAATTCCCAGATGATACCAAGGCCAGGAGTGATGGCCACCAGCATGTCACTGTTCGTTCAGGATATCTCGTGTTTGTTGCTGCCACCATACTTGACTCTCAGTATATCTCATGAATCTCATTCTTTTTTTATTAAACTCTTCTGTGTAAGCAAATGAAATGTAAGGTACAGTCTTTCCACTGTCCATCCCCACACACTCTAATAGGGACTTGGCCTCTCAGCTGTGTGCATAGATGTTGTATATGCATTGAAAAAAGGACTAGAAGCTATATTTTAAAGTATGGCTATATGTGGGTGGTGGGATTATAAATGTCTTTATTTTCTTATGTCTTTTTTTCCTTAGTTTTTTACAGTGCATGATTTTTAGAGTTAGAAAAATTGTCAACTACTTAAGTATATTTGAAATAACTGTGATAATGGGACATTCATCACTTACCTTCATTCAGGGCTTGGCAGCCGTCTATATTTTAGGCTTTGGGGGCATTGTGATCCCTGCTGCAGCAGCCCAGCTCTGCACTTGGACTGCATGGGGGGCCACAGACAGCACACAAATGAGCGTGGTGCTGTTGTGCTAACACTTTATTTAGGGACCTTGAAACTGGCATTTCACATACTTTTCTCACATTGTGAAATACTATTTTTCTTTTGATTTTTTTTCAATCATTTAAACATGTGAAAACCATTCTTAGTTTATAGGCCTACAGAAACAGGCAGTGAGCTGGATTCGGCCCATGGGCTACAGTTTGCTGACCCTACAAGATGATGATTTTTCTGAAAATATGTGTTTCTAAGAAGTCATGGCTGACCCTTGTGAAGATCTTAGAATGGTATCTCCATCTTATTAACTGGTGCCATAGATTTGTTTTTTGCCAGTTGTCTTCACTATTTTCTTTCTTTCAAGAGAAAAATGATTTTTTTTCTCTCCAAAATAAATAATGAAAATTTTTTTGATGGAGGGAACACTTCAGCCGTTTCAGAAATGCAAATGACTTTTGCTGTGTTGTTTCACTTTCAGTGGTGGGAGATACATGGTCAAGAATATTAAATGATACTGTGAGAAATGGAGAAAAAATGGAAAAAGAGGAGAGCTGCTTCTTTGAGTCCTTTAATTCTGATACCATGTGGTTGCTGGGTTTCGTTCCATAGTAAACATGTGGGACAGTTAGACCTCTGCCGTCCTGGCTCTTGAGGCGTTGACCCTGCAGAAATCACAGCTGCCATCGGTAGCGGGACCTGGCTTGTCCCGGGACTGGTCTGTGTCTGCGGGTGCTGGCAGGACCCCCCACTTTTCCTCCAGACTCCCGGGGCCATGTGTTGTGATTTAAGGAAATGAGGAAGGGTTTTTTTTTGTTTTTTTTTAACTTTAATAATTTAAATGTATATATGAAACATAGAAATGAAACACTAGAAATTACATTTTAGGAATTTCTTTTGTTTGACAGTTTTAGGGACATGCTGTCCAAAGCATGGGGCCCAGAGTTGCCCTGCATCCAAGCCTCTAGGTTGTGCAGTGCAGACTCCTGGTCATCATACCTGGTAAAGCGGGCTTTCTGCATGCAGAACCCAGGAAAATGCATTTTTTACAGTCTCTGCAGTGGGTTATTTTTACATCGAAGTTTGAAAACTGCTGGTCTAGGGGAATAAGAGAGCAAGCTAACAGGGTAGGTTGGCGGTCTTTGCACCAGCATTCCACTGTGGCTGTGTTCTTTCCCACACTCAGAGACAGGACCTTTTAAACATACTCTGAAAAGCATTCTTAACAATGGCAGAATGCAGCACAGGTAGGAAAAAAGCCCTAGTTTCCCTCAAAACATAGTCCTTAAGAAAAAGAATGTTCTCAATGAAGTACATATATACTGGCCTTTGAGGGTTTGTTTCTTTTACCAGGTAGGTTTGTTCATGTTTACTTTCTAGTCCTTTACACCTTAAAGCCCAAGGGTGTCAGAAAGAGAAGAAGTTAGTGTCTTTTATTCTTCTATTGTATTTCTGTAAGCATGTTATAACTTGCTGGTACAAAGAATAATGGTAAATGGACTTTTTTTTTAACCAGGGGGAACACCTAATTTGAAATTATTGTGGCTGAACCAAGAGCCAGGAATACAAGGCCGGCGCTTGGATGCCCTCCTAGGCTGTTTCGACCTTTCCTCCTCAAGAGAAGAGCTGCAGGCGGTAGAAAACCCCTTTAAAGCGTTGTGCTGCCTCTTGATCTACCTCTTTGTGCAGGTAACCTCAGCTCCTCGTTCTAGGTCCTGCGTTGGCTCCTCGCTCCTGCCCTTGCCTTTTGTGAGGTGTGGCGCTCTGGGGTCTGGCCGTGGGCCTGTCCCCATGTCATGCTGTCTAGTATCTGCCCCATGAGCACGAGTCCCTTGCAGCTGTGTTCCCTGTCAGCACACATATTAGACGCCTGTCTGTGTCAGACATAGAGGCTCATAATGCATGTAAGTGTAATGGAGGCGTGGGACACCGTGCAGGTTTGCTTCTGCTTTCCAAGCGCTTTGAACCATGTAGTGCCTCCCCTGGTGCCTTTACCGTCCAGGAGGTTAGTCCCGTCGGGGGTCCAGTCTTGTGGTGAGAAGGCCTGGTGCTTCTGGGCAACGCCTTCCAACGTCACTGCTCTAGCAGACGTTTACTGAGACTTCCCTTCACGTCCCAGTCTAAGACAAGGTAATGGGTACCTCCTGGGGTTATTGGGGTGTCGCACTGTGGAAAATACGAAACGTGCTTCGCAGAGGTGCCCCATGATATGTCTGCTAGGGTCATCATCGTCACGGCCTGTGTCTTCCTTGCCTGATTAAACCAGGGGTTGGAGGCCTCACATGAGGAATGCAGTGCCAGGCCCTGATTGGTGTCCCTCAACAAGTTAGGCAGTTTCTGTTTCATTAGTTTTACACTTAGGTTATGTGTGAAAATTATAAAGGCCCATGAAAGTATTTGTCTTTTTAACAGGTGCCCGTGTGCAGGGTAATGTTTGGAAACCTCAGCAAAAGAAGGGCCAAATCACTCCCTCTTCCAGCCCCTTTCCTCCCACTTCCTTTCCTTGGCTGTATTACTTTTAAATGATTTTGTCTCACATTTGTCACAACGACAATAAAAGAAAAAGTCCTTTGCAATCACGTCTCTGTTGTTTTTAGCCCATCTGGACCTCCTGTCCTCTCGACACCTTTGGGCTGTCTTCTGCTGTGGCCTCTGTATGTGCTGGATCTTGGGACTCGTTTGGCATAAACATCAAATTTTCATTTGCCTGGAATAGAGAGTTAGGTGACTGTTTCTCAGACCTGAATTCACTTTATGAATTATTGTTTTTAAGAAATTCACTCTTACCGTGGAATTACATTTCAAGGGAGCTTTATACTGATTCGTCTTTTCCTTTTCTAAATTGTTCTTTTGGCTCTGCCAGTTTATACCTAGTTCTGCATTTTGCATTTTGTAAAAATGTGGTATATATAGCTAAATAACTCTTAAGAGATTTTATTGCTTCAATATTGGTTTCACAAGCACCAGTGTAAACTTCAGTTTTTGCTTTACTATTTTGAGTAGAACATTTTGTTATTGGTACCAGACTTAGCAATATAACTGAATAGAGGATGGATTTTTAAGTGTAAAACTGCCTTTCTTTTGATACCATTTACTAAATATGCAAGCATGTATCAGTTAATGTTTTCTGTCCAGTGTTCATTAGTCTCCAGGTGGCCGAGATAGGGCCGTCATGGGGATTGGGAATGGTGAATAACCAAGAGCTGAGGTTTCTCCTCCAGAAAAATAAGTGTGTTTTCTTCTGAATACTGTCTGCATGCATATGAACAGTCACTCCTTGGACACACATTTTGAATTGCTCTTTCCAGTAAGAGGGTTGTTGAACCTGTTGACAGTCGCTCATCATAGCTCTGTGCTCGCCACTTGTGCAGGTGACTGTCAGTTACAAAAATCCGTGTCCAGACCACAGAACAGCAGCTTTCCATCTCCAATATCTCTCTATACCTGAAGCAAGACAAGCGTCAGGAGGAAAATTTCCACCTTCATCTTCTTTCTGATAACACTAATGGTTACCTTTCAGTAAAAATCTCTTTAGTGTGAGTCAGCATGAGGCAGACATATGATGTTGGTTTGACTTAAAGAGCATATTTAAATTGGAGCTTTTTGAAACCGAAAAACAGTGAATCAACACATCAGTGGCATCTCTGAGATTAAGAAGGAACTGTAATATTCACAGGGTTAATATTCTCTTAAGGTTTCATAAGGCTATATAAAAATATTACACTTTTCTGTGGTTAAGCTTAAGTTAGATGTTTCATTGTGCGACGTGGGGTACAGAACCTGTAGAGAAACGAAATGCTCTCATAACCTCCAAGTCAATAACAACAACACTTTTTACTGAAAGCTTATCTGAGAACATTCTCTGGAAGGGTAAGTTTACATCATAGCAAGTGTATGTAGTTTTTATAATCTCTAGTTGAGCAAATGCTTTAAATAGTAATATCTGTTCTGTGAAACCCTAAAAAAGCACCCTCTGTGGTGGTTTAGACTGTTAACTGCGGAGGTGGGCTACCTGTGAAAGCAATGGTACGTGAGATAGTTTTCTTTTCTCGTAAATTGGTGTTTTAAAATCAGCCTTCTTCAAAAGTTGCTAATGGCAAGAGGTAGAATTACATTGCAACAAACCCAGTCTAAATGGAGAGAGATGGGGTTTATGGAATAAAAAAACGTGTTCTTTGCTTGGTTTTGCTTCTGTAGACTGGGGTCTTTTTTCTTGGTCATGAGTACTACACATCTGTGGACTTTTCTGTTATTCCCTGAAATAGTTACAGCTGTCATTTATACAAAGGCAATAAGTACCTCAGAATGGAGCAGGGCAGGGTAGTGACGGGGTTGGTGCCTTCCGTGGGGTGGAGTTGACGAATGCCAGAAGTATTTGCTTTTCCAGGAGAGGTCAGTGGGTCCTGGCCGTGGAGAGCAGGAGTCCCCAGTGAACTGTCTTTCTGGTTTATGGTGGCGTCATTTTTATTAGGAGTAAACATTAGCCACTTTTATCACTGAGGAAGAATCAAAATTCTTACTCATAGGTTTGTGGTTGTCATCCTGGTTTTTTCCCTTCAAGCCTTTACTTGCCACAGAACGTATTCCTCTATAGAAAGAAGTTCTCGTATTCTTATGATGGTGGTGGAAACACTGAGCAAGGGAACTGCAGTGCTTTTCTCTGGCTGGCAGAATTTGGTGGCTGAGCTGGAAAAGTCACCACCCCCTAACCTGGGAGAGGTGGTTCCCTAGAGCAGCCCGCTGTCCATGGTGCTCCCAGGCCCTGTCCTCATTCCCATCATTTTCTCGAGACCCAGAGTTTTCCCATCTGTCTCCCCAAATCCCTGCCCTCCTTGTTCTTGCTCACACTTTGGTTGGACCCCTTGATTCCACAGAAGATCGGAGGGTCTCATATGTGGGGGTCCTGAGATATGAGTATGCAAGTTTCATCAGGGCTGGCAAAGGTGGAAGTTTGTCCCAGCCTTGATCACCCCAGCTCACGCTGCAAACCCCTAAGTTACCAGCTGTGGGAATTGGTGCCCAAAACAGTCACCTGTGTTGCTCTAAGACTCAGGTCTGGTTGTGGCTCACGGCCCCTCCCAAGCATTCTAGAGCTTCCCCCCTTGCTGCGGAGTGACCAGGGCCCTGTCCAGCTTGGCCCTGGGCATCATGGACTGTGGGCTCTGGACAAAGAGGCCCCACTGACCTCCGCCTCTGCCTCTTCTACTGCCCCCAGTGCGCGCCTGTCTTTAGTCATTGAATCCACGTGCACAGTGTTGGATTTTTCCCAGAGCTGATGCTGCTTCTCTCTCTCTCCCTTTCAGGTGGACACTCTTTGCCTGGAGGATCTGCATGCTTTTATTGCTCAGGTCTTGTGCCTCCAAGGAAAGTCAACTGTGCAGCTTGCAGACTTGCAGGTACTGGCCTGATTGATTGTCACAGTTCTGGAGACCCCCTGCCTGCCCAGCCATTTCTCCTGTTGTGTTTTTTTAAGTTTTGGTTGGTGTTTCACAGAAAAGGTATGAAGGCATCTATAATCAGGGTGTTTTTATGATGCTGTGGCATGGCTTCATCTCTCACAGCAGAGCCCAGGGTCCTCGCAGGTTAGTGAAGTTCAAGCAGAGCTGTGGACAGATGGCGCCCTGCGCTCCAGGGAAGTGGCCCTCTAGACCTCAGTCTCAGCTGGGTCACATGCTCGCCAGAGCTGCCTGATTCCAGCGCTGGGAGACGTGTCGTTCTCAATCCTGTCTCAGTATTGTAGTAACACAAGGACAGGAGTCGGTTTGATCCTTGATAAGCCTTGCTAACTTTGGGAAAACAGGACGCCTTTTTCTGGTGTTCGTGATTTTGGCCCATACACATCCTGTCTTGCCTGTTTTGTCCATGGGCCTGGCCTCCCAGACGTCAGGGACTGCTCTTAGGGGCCTGGGCCACGTCCTACCCGCCCTGTGTCCTCTCCCAGTGCCTTGCTTGTGGAGTGTTTAGTAAATGGAGATCATGCGCCCGTGTTGCTTTTATTCACATGTTGCCACTCACAGGCGTTTTATTCCTTTAATTTCATGAACAAGCCGTTGGCAGCTGAGCCTGGCTCCTCTCCTCTCTGGCCACGCCCCGTTGGGTCCCATAGCTGTTTCGTAGAGGAAAACCCGAGGTCAGGTCAGTTGTTGGTGGAAACTGAAGACTTTGCTTTATAAATGCCATTGGATAATGATGAGTTTTATCCGCAGATTCTAGTTAATTGAATTAATTTTCACTTGTCTTTCTAGTGAAAAAAAAACTAATAAATTTCATTTATGAACAACTTTTAATCTAATCTCAGAACTCTTCCGCACCATGTTTACTGCATGAACTAATTCTCATAGCAGCCCAATTAAATACAGTCAGGCTGTGTGTGTGTGTGTGTGTGTGTGTGCGGTTTCATTACGTTATAGTCAAAGTTATTTTTAGAGGTGGATTTTTTCCTCCTTTTGGCAAGACACAATTTTAAAAAGTGAATTTTGGGTTATTACTAGGTTAATGCTAATTCTTTTTTTATTGAGGTATAATTGACACACTTATATAAGTTTCAGGTGCTCGACAATGATTCAATATTTGTATATATTGTGAAATGATCACCACAGCAAGTCTAGTTAGTATCTGTCAGCACCCATAGTTACAGAATTTTTTTCTTGTGATGAGAACTTTTAAGATTTATGCTCTTAGCAACTTTCAGGTATGCAACACAGTGTTATTAACCATGGTCTCCACGACGTACATCACATCCTGTGGCTTATTAATGTTATGCACTGGTCTGGATGTGTGTGGGCCAAAATCACGAAGGAGTCTGTACCTTCTGACTCCTTCCCCCATTTTAGTCACCCCCTATCTCCAGTGACCACCAGCCTGTATGGTATTTGTCTTTCTTTCTCTGACTTACTTCACTGGCATAATGCCCTCAAGGTCCATCCACGTTACCACAAATGGCAAAATTTCACTTTCTTTTTTTTTTAATGCCTCAATGATACTGCATTGTGTAGATATGTCACATCTTTTTATTTTTTATTTTATTTATTTATTTATTTATTTTTTAAGATTTTGTTTATTTGCTAGAGAGAGAGTGACAGCACAAGCAGGGGGAGTGGCAGGCAGAGGGAGAAGCAGGGTCCCTGCCGAGCAAGGAGCCCTATGTGGGACTCAGTCCCAGGATCCTGGGATCACGACCTGAGCCGAAGGCAGACGCTTAACCGACTGAGCCACCCAGGCGTCCCGTCACATCTTTTTAATGTATTCATCAGTTGATGGACACCTAAGGTGTTTTCATGTCTTGTCTGTTGTGAGTAATGCTGCCTCAAACATGGGCTGCACATACCTCACAAGATAGTGATTTAACTTCCTTCAGATATATCCCCAGAAGTTGGATTGCTGGATTTTAGGGTAGCTCCATTTTTAGTTTTTTTGAGGAGCCTCCATACTCTTTTCCGGAGTAGCTGCCCCAGCTTGCATTCCTACCAGCAGTGCAAGACGGTTCCCCTTTCTCCGCATCCTGGCCAATACTTACTTACCTTTTGCCTGATGATGGCCCTCCTAAATAAGTGTGGGAAGTTAATTGACCATATATGCATGGGTTTACTTTTGAGCTCTCTATTCTGTTCCATTGATTTTCGTGTCTGTTTTTATGCTAATATTACACTGTTTTGATTATAATAGCTTTGTAATACAGTTTGAAATCAGGGAGCGTGACGCCTCCAGCTCTTTTCTTTCTCAGGACTGCTCTGGCTATTCAGAGCCTTTTGTGGTTCCATACACATTTTAGGATTGTTTGTTCTATTTCTATGAAAAGTGCCATAGGAATTTTTATAGAGATCACATTGATGCTGTAGATTGCTTTGGATAGTATGGACATTTTAACAATATTTGTTCTTCCAGCCCATGAGCATGGAATATCTTTCATTTGTTTGCGTCATCTTCACTTTCTTTCATCAGTGTTTTATAATTTTCAGAGTGCAGGTCTTTCACGTCCCTGGTTAAATTTATTCCTACCTATCTTATTCTTTTTGATGCAATTGTAAATGAGATTGTTGTCTTAATTGCTCAGATAGTTCCTTATTAGTGTATAGAAATGCAACAGATTGGGACACCTGGGTGGCTCAGTTGGTTAAGCATCTGCCTTCAGCTCGGGTCCTGATCTCAGGGTCCTGGGATCGAGTCCCATGTTGGGCTCCCTGCTCAGCGGGAAGCCTGCTTCTCCCTCTCCTCTGCTGCCTCCCCTGCTTGTGCTCTGTCTCTCTGACAAATAAAGAAAATCTTCAATAATAATAATAAACCTTAAAAAAGAAATGCAAAAGGTTTCGTGTATTGATGTATCCTGTAGCTTTATTGAATTCATTTATTAGTTCTGACCATTTTTTGGTAGAGTCTTAAGGGTTTTCTATGTGTAGTATCAGGTCATTGGAAGATAGTGGCAGTTTTACTTCTTCCTTTCAGTTCGGATGCCTTTTATTTCTTTTCCTTGCCTGATCGCTGTGGCTAGGACGTCCAGTCCTGTGTTGGATGAGAATGGTGAGAGTGGACCTTCTTGTCTTGTGCCTGACTTTAGGGAGGAAGCTCTCAGCGTTTCACCATTGGGGATGTTAGCTGATTGCATTGAGTATGAACAACTGAGTAGGAACAGCACAATTTTTAAAAAGTGAATTTTCAGTTATCAGTAGGTTAATAAAATTCTTACTAGGTTATAGCCCGAGCTGCGTGGCCACCCCGACAGCCTGCTGTCCTGCTGCCGTGGGCCCATCTGTCCCTGGATTCTCACCTGCCTTCCCCTCTCCAGGCCTAGTAGAACCCAACAGACAGACAGAAGGAGGAGGGGACTTGGAGGTGGTGCTGTCTCCGGCCTCACTGTACAGGGTGGGCAGCAGAGCAAGGTGGGGTTCGGGGTTCTCTCACTTGGTAGCTGCATGACATTGAACAAGTTCTTGTGAACATACAGCAGAACATAACTGCTCTCTTTCATAAATATGAGGGGACGTCGTACATGCTTGTTGACAGGGTGGAGTGTGGCACCATGTGGGATGTTCTCGGTCTTTGTGGAAATCGAGGCCATGATCCCATCCCCACCGTGTCATTGGCAGAGCCAAAATGGGATCGGCTCCTGACACCCAACCAGTGGTCTTTGCTGTGAGGAGGTGCTTTTCTGGGAGGAGGGGGCCTGAGGGAAAGCGCGAGGTAAGAGCGGACCCCAGCAGGAGCATGCCTTGTTGTGCCCTCTCGCTTTGGCCCCACGTTTCCCAGTCTGACAGATCCCAGCAGACCAGGTGCCTTCCACAGGGCTGGAGCTTCTCCAGCAGAAGTGGGGTCTGTACCAGCTGTTACTGACGTTGGTTCCCTGGGAGGACTGTAACTGGGCAGCTCATGTTCTCCTCACCAGAGCCCTGTGGAGAGTGTCCCAAGGAGGATGTGGGTTTTTACCAGCAGTGGGACTGAAAACAGATGCAATTTCAGAGGCCTCTTGGCTGTCCTGGTTGATTGGATTGGTTGTGGTGATGCTGTGAGGCAGGGAGGGGAGGGGCAGGGTCCCCCCAGGGTCTCACTCCGCTCCCGCTGTTGAGGAGCAACTCATCTGGGACTTAGCTGTGGCTTTGTTTCCAGACCCTTGTCTTCACCATAAGCTGCAGGTGAGCTTGGTGTCCCTGCTCACTGGTGCTCGTGGGGAATTTTTAAAATGCCCAGCATTATTTTTCTTGTCCCAACAGCTCAAATACAGCTTTAAGATGGTATACAGGTTTACATTTTTATTAAAAATCCAGGTCATTGGATTATATTTGTAAAGATTATATCCCATATTATATATACGCACATATTCATTTACAGACATAGAAGTCTGCTATCTATGATAAAGAATACAAGAACTCTTAATCTGTAACAGTTCTGTAAGAAAAGAAAACTGAAGGGAAGCAGGATTAGTTGTAACTAAGAAAAAGGCAAAGACAGCTTACTTTCATCGCACACAGAGGGCAGTCACACAGGTAGCAGGGGACACTGGCCCCCTCAGTGCCGGAACATGTGCGAGGAGCTGAGCCGGGCGCAGGGAGTAAGACTGTCTTCCGGGCTGGAGCCGTGTCCTCTCTGAAAGCTGGTATGTGTTTGCTCTTTTCCTGTTCGTGTGTGTGACTGTCCGTAAGTGCGTTCTAGGGGACCCAGTCTGTTCATGGTGCTTTACGTAGCTCATGGGGTCCTTTGATACTTGGCTTGTGCAGCCCCCGTGAGAGCACACACAGAGAAGGGGATGCACACAGGATGAGGGTGGGGTGTCTGCATAGTTAGGTGGGAAAGCCAGCTAAGCAGTACACCGAGTCACACAGTGAGCAAGTAGCCCGTGAAGCTTGGGTTCTCGCATCTGTTGAATTTAAGACAAGGTTGCAAGGGTAGAGGGATAGTCATGTGC